ATTCATATTTACTGAAAGGTAAATTATGTGAGATCTGCTCTAATTCCTCTGAGTTTTGAGCTACAATATGTTCTTTTTCCTAGTAGTAAAACCCACAAATGCGTGCATTATTCTGTGTGAATCACATTATGCACAAAAACATGGATTATTTTATGACAACGCACAAAACAATCAAAATACCTAGCTTAGTACTAGATTACCAGCTAAACACTCAAGAGCCATGCTTATCCATTAAACAAAGTTTATTGACTTATCCTTCTGTCTCAAAAACGGTCAAAATAGGTTTCAATAATAAAAAATATTAAACATACAATCAAAGTTAATGTATATCTAAAAGTTCTTGTAGAAACCCTAAACCCTTGGTCTAAATGATACGGCACTAACAATAACCCTTTTACAATACAACCAGGTCACACCCCCTTTGAAAGAGTTTTATCTGATGCTGGAGCTGTCCGTTTCTCAATCTTCATACGACTCAAAATTCCTGCCTGATTGATAAGTGACTTGTTGCATATATTCAGACCTCAGTAGGTGGGGGACGCCATGCTGTTGTGTACCCCTCCTGCTGAGCTGTGCTATGAACCAAATCCCTTCTTAGCTTTCTCTGTCTTGATGTCTTTTTTTAAACTGCATTTGATTTCTCTACAAAAATTCAAAACTTTCTGAATTTTCACACTTGCTAATTTTATCCTCCATTTCTTATCACGTGTTTTTGATGTATTCTAAGCATCATGTTGCTGCTGTAAACAACTGGATTTTGTGTAAAAAAACAGAATTGTGCATCTTGATTGTATTTAGATCCATCTTTATTATTATACATTTTTTAAAGAATATTCAGAAACCTAAAGTAAAAATAAATGACATTTGATCCTTTTTATTGTTTCTATGTTCAGCCATGTTATTTCTTTGCACAGCATTTCTTATAACCACCTCATTTAATCACCCACCATCTTTCCATGCTGACAAATTTCAACTTGAAGGCAATAATCAGCCTGAATGAGTAGAGCCGCTGCCCTTTAACAAGTGGGCCACAATGTGAATCCTCGGCATTTCATACAAGCAGCATGCTTCTCGCTTTCTGCTTCCTTCAATTGGCAGTGCCTGGCATGTGTGTTTTGCTACCATGGCTGGTAGAATTAGTCGCGCGAGCATTTCATTGTTGGCACCTGGTGGTAGCTTGAGCTGTGCTGTGCTGTGAATAAAGAAGGGAATGAGGGGCTAGATGAGGTCGAGGACAATATGTCTCTGGTTGTTGAAGTGTGTGTGTGTGTGTGTGTGTGTGTGTGTGTGTGCATGTGTATGCGCGTGTGTGTGTGTGTGTGTGTGCGTGTGTGTGTGCAGATGTCGTAACTAATCCAGTGGGGTACTGAAAATGTCTACTTGGCGGTGCTACATGATCAAAATTAAACTCCATATTTCCATGTTTATTTATTTGTGTGAAAGCTCAACTTTACTCCTATTTTTAATACATTTGGTCTCTAGTAGGAATGAATGTCTTGTAAGTCGTTCTCTGGAGGAGAAAAGATTTGGTTCGCCAGTTTGAGGACGTAGAAGTCAAAGTAGCTTTAGACGAAAGGATTTGGAGTCTTATTTCCTGATATTTGGGCATCTCACCTCTGATTGGCTAACAGCAACACGCCTCTACCAATGGTTCTGCTTTGCAACGCTGATATTTTATCTCTACAAATAACATAAACCTGGAGGAGTTCTGCTGTGTTGTGGAGTTGCTAATGCTAACGGTTAGCTTCTGCTAGGGATAGACCAAAATATCGGGCCAATATTTACCATTTTTTAGACGTCGGTTTTGTCCAATATTTGTCCTTAGTAAAAGCGATTTAAGGTCAGTCGCATCCAGGGGCATCATGGTGCTGTTGCAGAATTTAATTTAAATGTATTTTTACGTTGGCTAATAACATCTGCGTTATAATTACTCTAAATTTACTTTATTTAGGTGTCTAACTTTAACACTTAGTGCACAAGGTATTCATTTATTTATTTATTTGGTTGGGGCAGTGCATGTTAATAAACATGCATGAAAATAAAAAAAATCATTAATGTAAACACACCAAATTATAGCCAAGGTTTAATTTCCATCTGTAGTCCCAAAGAAGAGGAATACTGCAAAAACGACAATAAATTTAATTACAATTATCAATACAATGGACAGTGCATTTAACACATTCACACTCACTCACACACACACACACACACACACACACACACACACACACACACACACACACACACACACACACACACACACACACACACACACACGCACACACACACACGCACACACACACACACACAGAATTCTGTCTGCTTAAAAGATCATTAAAAACATTAAAATGATACCGCCCCTACCGATGAGCACACTCTTGTCCATAACCAGTGTTCAGCCTATGCTTTTAAGGAGCTGAATGTCCACGGGTTGGAGCTCACATGGTCCTGTCTAAGTTACCTTTGTAATGAACTCCTTTAGCGATGGTGGGACGAGAGAGTGTAGGACTTTATTGTTCAGACAGACTCTTAACTTTCAGTATGTTATTAAAGTCCAGTAGTCTTTGCTTTTTAGAACATGGCAGTGGTGGTGAGTTTTTTAGTCCACTTTTATATTTCAATGTTCTTAAGCATTGTTAGGAATGCAAGAGAGCAAGAAGTCAAACAATAGTCTTCATGGGAGATAATCATAGAGTGAAAGTACATTTTTGCAGCATTCATATTTATATTACTACAAATGTGATTGAAGTTAAGATTTAACAGTTAGTTGAATTCTGAGTTCAAAAACTGATTCGGCTTCAGAATTTTTGTGCATCGACTGATGATGTTAGTGACATTGTAGCATGAAAATAAGGTGTAAAACATCTAGATATAGGCCATGAAAATCAGCAATAGATATCATCGGTTTACCATGTCTCCTACATATCGGCAATAGAAAAACCAATGTCGGTATACCGCTAGCTTCTGCTACCTGAGACGTTCTCTGCTGTTTCCTGGACGCTAAACCAACAACAGCATTCCCCGTCACGAGCCAAGATGGGTGAGTCCATGAATGTTAAGTGACAGAGTGATGTAGATCTGTCAGGCTTTTCTGAAGCAAGAGCTTTTCTGTCTATTTTCTATCAGAAGCTAATGCAGGAAATGGGGGTAGAAGAGTATTTTCACATTCAGCCTGCATGTTAAACTCAGAGTGACTGATCATAATTCATAAAAAACAAGTAAAAATGGTTTCTCTGTGAATCTGCCCTTTAAATAAAGCATTTGTTGAAGTAACAATAATCCAGGGATTTTGTTTACATTGTTTTCATATTGATATTTTACATCATGAAGATATATCTGGCATACCTCCCCATCAGATAAAGCTAAAACTGACACCATGTAATAACCCTGCATTAGCTTAAACGTCGCATCCCACCCAATGTGTCTAAATCCCCCTAGTGAATGGGAGAATTCCCAGCAGTTTTGAAAAATGAAATGTAATCCCTGCTGTTCAAAAAAGAAACTGAACACTGTAGGATTGTGTGGAGAGGTGATTTCAACACATAATTGTATGAATTAAATAAAAACTGCAATACAGAGGCAGGTGGAAACCCTAGAAAACATCTTTTATGCTCTCCCATTAGGCTGGAAGGCTGTTACACAGAAAACATTGCCTGCTGTTAAAGGGTTTAAATGTGTCAGGAAGTTCGAGTCGTTTCAGCTTCGTAGCAAACGCGTGTGCGTTCACATGCAGTGCTGTGATCACACTATGAGCCTGTTGCAGTGGAGGTGCTACACCTCCTCTCTGCCTGCTTATCGCTCTAGTCCTGAAACGAGACTCTTCAGATCATTCTCTTCACTACCACTGTCACACGCATGCAAACGTAGAGAAGCACCTGCACGATTCTAACTGGAAACACACACCTGAGCGACAGACCATCCGTGATCTCCGAGGAGGTTTCTGACGATGAGTGCAGTAACTTGTATGACACACATGCACTTTTTCTTCACAAATATTGTATTTTTCAGATAATACTTTTTTTTTCTCATGTTGCTTGTTTATGACTCATTGCAAGGTGTGACCCACTTGCTCTGTTCATTCTGCTGCTATTAAAGGAGACTCTGTATCCTCAGCAGGCAAGTACAGGCTTTCTAATTCGCACTAAAAACCGTTGACTCTGAAAATGAACACTGAATGACTCTTGCGGGATGGGTGTATCTTGACAATAACTCCGTTGAGGGTTGCAGGTTAGCAGTGGCTTTCACCGATCTTCAAACTGACAACGACATGAAAAGCAAGTCATTTTAACTCGAAGTTGTAACACAAATGTAAGAAACTGGAAGTGCAATGCTGCATCATCACATTGAGGGTTAACACATTCATGCACAGCTTTAGTGAAAACTCATGTGTGTGCATATTTAACAAGAACACTAGCCACCATTTTGCACCTGGTGACTGGTGCGTGGTTGCACAACTGAAGACGGCAACAGAAGGTGGGTGTGAAACACTAGAGCAGTGGCTGGTGATGTGGTGCTGCTCTGCCTGTCTCTTATTACATGTAACCCAAGATGACATGATCTGGCAATGAGCTCACCATTCGATACCTGAGAAAGAGCTGAAGCGATCAAAAACAACGACTCTGGCTGCTGACGCTCGTGTATTTTTGACTCCCTTTTCTAGAATGTCACAGAGAGAGTTTGTGTTAGTAACTCCAACCATCTTTGATCAATTCCTGTACTTTTGGTGTCAGACAGCAGCGACTACCAGCATCAGAAATATGTTGAATCTACATAAAAAACTCATTATTCTCACCCTAAAAACTCCTTGTTTTGCTCCCACCCCCTTATTCTTCTCTAACAGGTATTCTTTTCACACAGTGGTATTTCCTTTTCCTAGTCTTGCCCAGCTTCAGAGTTTGTTCTTAAATGTTTGATTTCTTTTTTCTATTATTTTCACTTTCTTTCTTTCTCGTGCTTCTGTTCTGCTTCCCTCTGGCTACACTAACCCCTGACTCCTTCAGACTGGCATTATGAGGGTAAGAGGACAAGCATCTCTTATGTCTTTTGTGACTTTACCTTTCTGTAGTTCTGCCTTTTCTTTCTCTCGTGAACATTAAACTCAAACTTGCCTTGCATTAGCTGGATTGCCTTGCAGTGCCTGCCCTCCGCTAGACACTTCCCGTCCTCCCACCCCAACCCCATCTGGTGCTGTTTGTCAGGCTGCCATTACCTGCATCCCATGTGTTTGTGCCATCTAGCCACAGTGACCTCCATCTGTGAAGCTTCGCTCACTTGTGCTCTGTTCCTGACGTCGCTTTGTGCTTTCACCACCCCGTGTGTCTGGTGTCAGAATCATACAGTCAATTACCGATGATGTTTCTGCTACAGCACTTATCGATTCCACTTGCAGTAAAAACATCTAACTGTGGAGCCGGGCGACTCTGCAAAACTAGAGTTTCAGCTCTTTGCAGTCACTTTTGTTAATGTTTTTCCTGCACTGCTTTTGGAAATACGTGGAGAATGTTTCTGCCTATTGGGTTTGCACTTTACAAATAAAACAACAGATGTACAAACTATTACTTCTTTTTGAAACCGTGTCATTTTAAAAGTAGATTTTTATGCATTATGTTTAATTTCTCTCAAGACGAAGCTGGTGGGTCAGTTTTCAAACTCGATATAAAATAAATAAAATTTGAACTAAATACATAATTCATTTAAATTAAATCCAGACGCAATAAAAATGTGTTCACAACCAACTACACTGTAAATCCTGTGCAGTTGTCGCCACTTTTTAAACCTGATTTCATAAAAGTAATTAGATTAAATAGATAAAGCACTTCCATAAAGACAGACAGAAAATGGCCCTTTTTCTCCGTAATGCTTCATCACCAAACCCTCACAGATGTTAAGAAGTGTAGTGCTCATGATGGCTTGAAATGTTACAAAAATACCAAAAAAGGCCCCAAATTAAGACACATTCCCTGAAATTTTAAATAAAATTAAATAATGGTAGCCTTTATGTAGAGAACATGTTAAATACTCTTACTAATATATTTTCGTCAGCTGATCCCTTGAATACGCCACCCAAACTTTTTTTATCTCACATTTTCAAGGACAAAAGCAAACACCTGCAGATTAATGAACAGTCTGAAAGCTCTGCATCAAACACCATGTCAGAATTATTTGGTATTGGCTTGAGTGCCACTGTGGTCAGTATTTATACAACTGAAACACTATAAAATGTGTGTGTGTGGGGATCCAAAAATGGCCAAATGGATGATAATAATCACATACATAGTAACTAGTAAATATATCTGAAATGGTGCATGGCAAATTGTTTTTTTATTAAGTCATTAATTCAAAAAATAGACTTTTACATCAATGAATAAATGTGATTTCATGATTAAATTGATTTCAAATTCATACCTCCTCAATAGCTTAAGTTCAAATGTTTATTCTTTAACTGTGCTATATCAGATTAGCTCAAATAATCCCTTTCTCAAATGTATTAATACATAATTTTATTTATTTATTTTTTTGTGTTTCTGATTTTTTATTTATTTATTTTTTGGCATGCAGAGTGTAAGCTGTCCAGATCAGGGCCCCCAGCAACAATAGTGACCATTGACGAGGAGAGCCCTAACGGTACGTTCCTTAAATTACCCACCAATGTTTATTACTTCTGCTTTCTTGTTTATAACATTATGGTTAAATGGTGATGTGCTCAAGTAAAGTGGAATGAACCACTGTGATTGTTTTCCTGCCATACTGAGTGCTGCTTTGGTATTGTAATACATATTAACACTCATGAGTGTTGGTGGTGTAATGGAGTGCAGTGTCTCAGCTGATGGCTCTTGTCACAGGCTGGTTATATAAAAAGGTTTTGTTAGACATGTTGAAGTGTCTCTTTGATTGTGTTTTACATTAAAGAAATACAAATTCTAATTACACTTGGGCTATTTGTGCTGCTCTCCTGAATCAACGTGGACACGTTTGTGTGTGTGTGTGTGTGTGTGTGTGTGTGTGTGTGTGTGTGTGTGTGTGTGTGTGTGTGTGTGTGTGTGTGTGTGTGTGTGTGTGTGTGCGCGCGCACATGTGACTGAATACAGATGGTGTTTGGCACACACACACGACTTGGGGCTCCTTTAATGAGTCGTCTGCTCCCTGTGCAGATTGTACTTACCTGTGCTGCTGCAGTTCAGGAGTCAGTGAGGCTTACAGCAGACATGCATCACTTGAGTGATGAAACTTTTAAGCTCCTCCTCTTTCTTTTTGTCCTTCATCCTCTTTCTGGCCTCTCCATCACCTGCACCTGCTTTTCTGCTCTTTCCCAGCTTTCTGTCTCTTTTATTATCTTACCTTGTTGGCTCTTTGCTGTTTTTCCTCCCTCTTTGAGTTTGAAATGTTGAACACCATGGTGATGGATGTAAGTGGGGTTTTATAGCTGTATATGTTGCAAGCTGTTTGAGAGTTAACTATAAGAAAATGAGAAATGCTTTTTTTTTCTCTTCCCTCTAAATGGAGCAGGTGTATGTTTGTTTCCCTGCAGATATTAGTACTGCAGGTTAACAGAGTTTAATGATCGGCTCTCACTACAGATGGTAACTCGAGCTTATTAATACAGTTAGAGGAGTTTTCCGCAGATGTTCCGCTTGGTGCTGCAACGCGGGTGTCTGCGGATCTTAGAGGGATAAATTACATGTCCATATGTCTTATTGTATCTTGAGAGTATAAATGTGGGTCTGTGTCAGATGAGGCCACCCATTAGTTAGTGTAAGAATTCCCTACTTAGTCTGTCACTCGGCCTCCCGCCTTTCCTTTCTCACGGCGAATGCAGCTGTGATTTGAGGCTTTGATCGATTACTGGGGAGTTTGTGAGATGGAGGTAGCCAAGTCTGTATCCGAGAGCCTCTCTCACCCCACATGTTCCTGTGCTCCGTTCAAAGGGATTTGCAGTAATCTTTCTCATAAAGCTCTCATTTACCTGGGATGTGGGTCTCTCCTGGCTCCATTGTCGTTTTATTTATCCCACCGTGATGAAACAGGCCACAGTGCGTCCTCGCACATAATGGGATGTAAAACAGGTTACCCACTGTTATTGACCAAAGCAATTATCCTCTTAAATGTGTTTTGTTTCTTATGTTCTGCCACACAGAAACCATGCAAATGCCACATAACAAGATCCCGTCTTTCCCGAGCCTTTGAATTTGTTTTTCACTCATGGCTTAGAATCACAAACAGTTTATTCAACCATTTGTTTGGGCCTTGTGTTATAGGTCAGGACAGAAAGACAATAAAACGTCTTCATTTAAATTTGGAACAGTGTGTTTAGGAGCAGCCTACAAATTAGGGTTTGGTGACGGATCCTAAATAGTACAGATGGGAGTCCAGTTGTGATGGCAGCTCCCTGAAACTGTGCTAATACGTGAAACACAGGCGCCAGCATCTCCTTTAAAATAGGACCAGAACAATTTAAATGAATATGTCTGGCATGGTTTGGGGGATATGTGTAACCCAAGACATGCAGAATCACAACAACTCACAGAATGATGGTAAAAAATAATATTTATTTCAAAACGGGAACAGAAGGCGCACTGGTAAGTCCAGTGGGATCGAGAAATGGGAGCACAGTGTCTGATGATGGGAGAGCAGATACAGGTGAGTCCAGGGAGGCATGTCTTAAATTGGTGGGTGCAGAGAAAAGAGTTACTGGGAGTTGGGGAAGCGCAGGAATGAGGGAGGGCAGGTCGAGAGCCGGGGTGTATCCAAGTGAGGGGTCCAGGAGAGGGAGCGTGAGGAGAGTGGGAGAGCGGGTTGGTTAGGAGGAATGGAGAACGGTTCAAAGCTGCATTCAGAAGTCCTATGGGGCACGGGTGAGTAATCCTGAGGGGTCGCTGAAACCAGAGACGTTTCAAAAACCTGGAGACGGGTAATCACAAAAAATCCAAAGTTCACAAAGCCCAAGAACACGAGAGCACAAAATCCAAGAAATACTAGGAGGCTGGAAACTACCAAGCTGTAGTAATCATCCGGCATCGAGGTGTGTTCTCCATCCTCCTTATGTAGCTGGGCCCGCTGATTGCAAACCAGGTGCAACTAGGAACCTCCCTCTCACTAGCAATGTGTCCTCAGTCTCAGAGAGATTAATTAGTATTTATCAGCGTGAGGAACTTATTTCTATTTATTTCTACCTAATTTATAAACTGCTTGGTTACAGGTCCCATCATTTAATGTAATAATTGTCTCAACCAGCGATCAGAGGTGTGCTGCAATCCCGCATCTCCCGACCCACTCTCACAGCAATCAGGGGCAAGCTGCACGTGTGTTTAGCGTGCCGCACACACACGTTTTGCTGTTTTTAGCTGCTCAGGAGCCTGCAGGTACAATGTGTGTCACTCAATCCTGTTAATCCAAGAGGAAGTCGGCTCTGAGAGCTGTTTCTTTTGCAACCGACACACCATTACATCGTTCCCTTTCCTAATGTCCTGAAGGACGGTACGCAGCGCAGGCGGAGTGTTTTGTTAACCTGTAGGAAATGTCGACAACAGTTATCCAGAAAGTAGCCAAAGGTTACCAGAGATGTTTCTGGGGTGTCCGCTAGGTACTTTTAAGATTTAAAAAGTCAAGAAGGGGGTTTGAAAAGCTGTTGAAATGGCGACAAATTTGCTAAGTCTCCGGCCGGTAACAAGATGGAGCCTGTGCATGGCTTAGCCGTGGTCACCGGCCACTTTTTCAAACTTTTCTCCACTAACCTCCTCTTTTCCACCTTGCTCCTGTCTGTGATCCTCTTTGGTAGTGTCTCTGCTACCATCTCCTATGATCGCCAGACTCTTTTATCCTTCCATTCGTTCACGATCGCCCAAGATGCACTGAGGATGTACCTCCCTCTTTGTTTACCTGAGTGGCGCGCTGGCCCGGAGCCAAACGATGATTCCAACCAGGGCGCCTCCAGCATTGTTTATCCGGTCCCGGGAAAACGTCGGAGGAAAAGAGGTAAACGAGCAGGAATCCAGGTGAGAATAAGACTTCTCTTAAAGTGTGGTTTATCTAGTAAACATCGGCATGATTTTCTAGCATCTTATCCTTTGTTTGGTGACCTGAGTGCCACTTCCGCATTCCCGCCAAGCCGCGGCGCGGTTTCTCCGTCCAAGCTTTTTAAGGTTGGTTTATCGTCATTCTTCAGTGGTTTCCCCTCCTGTTCCCTCCATGAGTGGTTTTTATAAACACCGTGGATCTAACCCTACTAATTTACGTCCACTAACTCTAGCTGTTTCTGTAGTTTCTGATTTCTCCACCTCACTCAGCATGGCTCTATTAAATACCCACTCTGTTAACAATAAGTCCTTCCTGCTTAATGATGTAATTCTCTCTAAAAACCAGGATTTTCTGTTTCTGACTGAAGTTTGGCAGCAAACATCTGATTACTCTGGTGTGATTGAACTCTGCCCGAGTGGTCATTCATTTTTTAGCCAGCCCCGGGGTTCTGGTCGTGGTGGAGGCCTAGCTGTTGTTTTCGGAGACCATTTTCCATGTGGCTCTACAACCTCTGGTCACTTTGCTTCCTTTGAACTGCAGCTGATTAAAGTCGAGCGTAAGGACCCGTTCTACTGTGCTGTGGTCTATCGTCCACCTGGTCCAAACAGTTCTTTCCTGCAGGAGCTTCGTGACTTTCTATCCTCCACTGTGAAGCTGTCCAGACTGGTGATTGTTGGTGACTTTAACATCCATGTTGATGATCCCTCAGACCACTTCGCCATGAATTTGTCCAGCCTCATGGACACCTTCAGCTTTACCCAGCATGTTTCTGGCCCCACACACACCAGGGGACACACTCTGGACCTTGTTTTTACCCAGGGTCTAAATGCTTACAGTGTTTGTCCTGAGGACGTTTATAATTTTGATCACCACTGCATTTTCTTTAACTTGTCCGTTTCTGCGTCCCCACCTCCTGCTCGCCGTGTGGTTAGTTCTCGTTTTCTTAATGAGAGCACAGCTAGCAATGTTTCCGCTGCTTTTAATCCACTCTGTTCTTCTGATAATGACCCAGATTCCTTAACTTCTCAGTTTAATGAGCACTGCCTCTCCATTCTGGACAACGTCTGTCCTGTCAGAACCAGATCAGTTCCTGCAGTGAACCCTACTCCCTGGTTTAATGACAGCCTTCGCAGCCTGAAGCACCAGTGCAGAAAAATTTAGCGCTTGTGGAAGAAAACCCGTCTCCACGTCCATCTGCTGCACCGAAAGGATCTTCTGACATCCTTTAACTCTGCAGTCAGAGATGCGAGGGTTGCCTATTTTTCAACCTGGTGTCCCAGAGCAAAGGGAACCCCAAGGTGCTGTTTAACACCATCTCTCCAGCCGCTCCTACAGCCTTCATCCACTCTGTTACAGACTGTGAAAACTTTCTGTCTTTCTTTGTGGTCAAAGTCAATAAGGTCAGATCTAGCATCTCTCCCTCAGCCTTATTGAGCTGACACCTTTGCCTCATTCTTCACTGACAAAGTGGCAGCTATAAGCAAACAGTTTACTCAACTGGCCACTCCTGAACATTCGCTACCACAAACTCCTTCTAGCCCAACCATCTCAAGCCCTACTGCTTCATTTTCCTCTTTTTCCCCTGTCACTGAGAACTGTGCGTCCAAGCT